GCACTCTCCTGACGATGCTTGATCGCGGCCGTGATGGCTCCCGCCTCCCCTGCTCCCTCCCCCTCTCCCTCTCCCTCGTCTCCTCTTCTGCTTCTTCCGCCACACACGCCAGCGCCCTGTCATCGTCACTGCCCTCCGACACGTCGTCATCCGCATCACCACGGTCTCTACCCCTCCTCTGCCGCCGCTGGATCTTCATATATCGCTTCAGCAGGCCCAAATGCTCCTTCGTCAGCGTCGCCGGCACCCTCTCCCTCTCCTTCTCTCGCGTGTGGTCGGCACCCTTGACGACGCTCGTCTTCAAAGCGGTCTTCTTGTGTGGTGGGATGGGTGAGGGGCTCTCTGAGGTGTCACGGTTGGGCTGCGGGTGATGGTCAGGTGACGAGTGCGGCGCCCTCGGGCGATAGGGGGATGGCGACTCTATCCACTGCTTGGGCGAGAGGGAATGCATCGAGCCAGGGGCGGATGGCGAGGGCCTTATCGGACTGACACAGGCATGCACTCGCGATGGAGCTGGAGCGGAGGATCCCATCGCCGCTGATTCATCGGAGCGCTTCTTGGAGGTGTCGAGGCGGCTCTGGTAGGTTTTGAGCAGCTCCAGGGACTGCTGGAACTTGTCGCGGAGGCTGGAGGCCTCTGCAATGACCTGGCTGTGCTTGGCGCGCAGGCTGCTGACTTGCGTTTCGGCCGATTGCCGCTGCCGCCGCTCCTCAGAAAGCCGCTTGATGAGCTGGCCCACTCGCTGCTTGTCCAGCGGGTGCAGGTCCTTCAGGCGCGGCGCATCCGGTTCGGTGATGTCATCCATGAGAAAAAAGGTCGACCAAGAGGCTTCTCCAGCCGGCAACGCTGCTTCTACACAGCCGGTAACCTTTTCGTCCACACGACCCCACACAGAATGCCGAGAGAGAGCGGTTTCACGAAATGTCCTAAGCGGCCTGACGGCCAAGTCCCATGTCTCACGCACAATCAAACGACGACACGCAACAGGAATCACCCACGCACGCTCCACATGAATGCCGAGAATTTGCGAGCTTGTGAGCGTGCAGAGAAGGAGCTCTCCACTCCAGCCGTCCTCCAGACACGTACATACTCAACGACGAAGCGGGAGATCTAAGGTCTACCTTGTCGTTAAAAGAGAGACGAATTACTGTCGGTGGGGCTCACCCCCACGTGGAGTGAAGGGGAGCGAACGGAGAAGAATGGGAAACAGTACGTCATCGACCAATTTGCCACCCGCCAACCGGCCCATCCGCACCTCCAGACGGTACCCCGGACGGAGGCTAAGCCCACCGACGAAACGAACCTACTCAAGCAGGAGCCTCCCTCCCCCACGTGAGCATTCACTGCCGGCCTCCTGAGGGAGGAGAAGGACAAGCAACACATCCCGGCCTCGTTCGTGTGTGTCTAGGGGTATCCAGCCCACCTGTCCAACCGGCGACTGATGGTGATAAAGTGGTTCAACTTGGACGATCCCGCAGGCGGCAGCCTTTCTGCCAGTGCATCAAGTTCCGCCGAGACAGGAACATGGCTGCCACTGTCGGCCTCGTCAACAGCATCATCGCCCGAGAGATCAACCCCCCAGGAAGATACGTCCACCTCATAAACACATGGGGCGGAGACCCGAGGGCTATCGTCGCCATCGTCACGATCCCCTCTCTTGACGATGGTGCCCACCTCTTCTCGCTCATCCAACTGGCCGTCAACAGCATGGAGGGCGTCCTGCAAGAGTGGCCGAGCAAGAAGGCGAGGCCCTGCGTGGTCAAAGAGCTGGTCAGCGCCGGAGCGGATGTGAACTTCGGCCAGCCCATATGGAATGCATTGGACGAGATGGACCTGCCTCTCTTCAAAGCGCTCATGGCTGGAGATCCCCAGGTTCTCAGCCTTCGACCGAGCTTTGCCCGATTCCTTGGGCTGGGAGACATCATTCGATGCGCTGTCACCGCATCCGACCCTGAGGTGCTCACGTGGATGCTCAACCACGGCATGGGGCGACACATCAACCACGCGCGAAATCGCCGCATCCTGGCAGAGGCCGGACGGGTGGTTGCAGACTGTCGGCGCGAGGAGGCGGGGAAGGACAAATCGTCGATTCCCTCGGCGCGCAGATGCATTCGCGTCTTGCTCGACCATGGCGCCTCCCTTTGAGACTTTCCTCTTGACCCCCCCGCAAGGGCAAGGGACGGGACGCAGCAGGAGGTTATGGCCGTCTACCGCGATTATCTGATCTCTTTTCCTGATGCTGCAATGCAGAAAGCCAATTCAACCATCTCGGCAGCAGCAGGCCCAATCCGCCCATTCACGCGGAGGGGGCGACTTGAGTGGCGCACTACCACGGCAATCGAACACTTCGCTGAATGGGCCGCCTCACAGACCTCCACAAAGCAGCGCTCCCAGGTTCTCGATGGCCGGTGTTTCGCTCTGGTGTCAAAGGACGGACGCGACACTGGAGTGATAAGGGTGGTCAGACGCCTGGCTCTTCGTGACATCGTCTCGCGGGCTGTGGAGGACGAAGCTCGCCTGTATGGGATCGATATGAGGCTGGTCTGTAGAAGAGCATCAGACTCACAGACAGATACGGCCGAGTTGCCCTTTGATTGGCAGCTGTTGAGAGGGGTGGGAATTAGGCTAGATGGGAGGGAGGGGTGCAGTGAGTTGCCGTTCGATTGGTTTGACGAGGAGATTGAGGATGCGCTGGAGGAGCAAGGGGGGGGACTGAACTCGGAGGGAGAGGGGTAAGTGATGGTTTGTCTCGGCTTTGTGCGGTGTGAGACATGAAGGATGATGTTGCGAAGTGCTCACGATGCCCTTCGCCCCTGTCTGTGGCCCTGATGAAGGCGCTCGGCTCAGATGACTGGAAGTGTG